TATTTAATAATTTATAAAACATTTCATGATAAATTACAATGAATTTCATAAAGCCATGGTTTTTTGACTGAAATATTTACAAATGTTTCATAAAGCTCAAAAGAAGGTTGAAAGCAATTTGACCAATCACAACTCGCTTAGGGATGCATGGCCGTAAATCAGACAATGACTGAAGGACACGTGCAAAGATCATGGGTAATGAACATTCCCAAATGTCTTCTGCAGCCAATGAAAGCTTGGTCTTCAGATTTTAATAAAGCCAAAGCATCTTCCAGGGTAAATCTTTTATAAATAAAAACATTCATGTCTTAATGAAATTCACTGTAAAATAGCTTCAAAATAGAATAAAGTGAGATCTGCTTCCTATCAACAATTCTTCGAAAATACAAGATTATCAAAATCCAGTAAGACACTGTAAAAATCACCTGTGATGCTCATTAATGATAAATATAACTCATTTTGAAAATAGAAATGCGAAATGGCATTAACAGCTTACCTTGCCATATCAAGAGGTAGTGGCCCCATATTTTTCAGCAATGTTGCGCAATCACCTCCTTCCACATACTCCATAACCATACATAAATGTTTCTAAAAAAGCAGAGTAGCCATATAATCATCACAGAAATAACATGGAACCATGTGATATGGAAGTACATACTAGGATAGCTACATTGTATGTATTTGAGAAGGCCATACAAATACAATAGGGCTTGAAATCATTTTTATTCATGTGAAATACATACCTTTGTTTCAAAACTGCAGTACATGGCAACAACAAATGGATTCTCAGCAAACGTCAGAATGTCCCTCTCGTTAAATGCCTGTTGAATCTGATTACGTAAAACAAGGTTTTGTTTACATATCTTCTTCATAGCAAATCTTTGGTGAGTTTCTTTGTGTTTCACAAGAAAAACAGCACTGGAATGAAGTTCAAAAAATTAATGGCGTTAGTACTTTTAAATAGCAAGACTGATTTGTAATGGGGATAGCATGAATGGAAGACCCCATTTCTAAGTTATTACCGTATTCCTTTTATTAGTTAGACCACTGAATTTTTGAAAAAAAAAAAAATTAATATTTTACTGTAATCAGAAATAAAATCAAAAAATATATATTTTTTGGAGGAATCTCCAAAAGAAGTTTACAGTACCATTTTTTACTGTAAAATTTATTCTTGCTGAAGGGGTGATTCAGTGAAAATAAAATCCAGTGAATATACCTTTCCTCATATTTTACAACTACTCTATATATTCACATTGAATAAATTCAGTGGATTTAATTTTTTTAGCAAAAACAGCAAAATTAAAATCAAGTGAAAAATTTATGCATTAAGGTAGAGATGCAGTTTATTTGGCTTGCTTTTTAATTGAGTAATTAGACAATGAAGATGGTATTATATATCCAACATGTTATATATTTTCTGAAGGCTTATTATACAAACTTTGTAAAACTTGTCTTTATTTTAAATATCCAGAATGCGTTTTTGATTTTGGGTCAAAAATATGCTTTTTTGGACAAAAGTGGTTTAAAAAAAATTAGCTTAAAAACTTCAAGTCCGTTTGTGGGTAAAATTACATCACTGGATACCTTGGTATATTACTAATTCAAATGCGTCCACTCATCTCTCTAACGGCTTTCAAAGTCGCACAGCATGACCTCAAAGTTCACTCTTTTCTATTTTTGCATAATTTATATATCCATGTTAATTGCGGACTTGTTATTTTTGTTCCACTCGCCGTAATAAACTGTCCGGACGCATTTTGAAGGGGGAACACCTTGTCAATAATGTGTGAAATTTTTGAGGCAATT